GGTTTGGGGGGATCGGGGCGGGGGGTCACTCCCTGTCACGGACCGGGGGGGCAATACCGGACCCGGGGGGGGCAACACCGGACCCAGGGGGGTCCCCACCGTCTCCCGGTGGTCCCTCTCAGCACTGACCCTCCCCCTCAGCCATGGACGGGCCCCCCGGCCCCGCCGCCCCCCCCTCAGCCCCCGATCGACCGCCGCAAGAGCCCGAGAGCCCCCCGGGACCCCTCCAGGGTCCCCCCCCGGGCGGGGGGCGGGCGGGGCCGGGCGGCGGCGGGGGGGTCTCGGGGGGGGGGCTCCTGTCGCTGCCCCCGGAGGTGCTGCTGCGGATCTGCGGGTTCCTGCGGGCGCGGGACGTGCGGCGGGTCCTGCCCCGGGTGTGCCGGGCGCTGCGGGACCTGGCCCGGGACAGCCTGTCCTGGCGGCTCCGGCTCCAGCAGCGCGCCCGCCGCCCCCTCCCCCCGCTGCCAGGTGGGTCTGGGGGCGACCGGGACCCCCCTCCCAACCCCGGGCCTTGGGGGACCCCCAAAGGCTCCCTGCTGGGGTGGCCGGGGGGGGATGTCCTGTGTGTGTCCTCCCCCCGTTGTTTGTGGGTCTGATGATCCCAGGGGGGTTTGGGGGGGGGAACCCCGGACCCCCCAATTCCCTTGAGGACCCCCCTGACTCCCCCGTTTTCCTGGGATACACTGGGAGGGGTTGGAGGGGACCCCAAAGGTGTCCCCGGGGTGGGTGATGGGATGTCCTGGGTGTCCCCCCCAGTGTTTGTGGGTCTGATGCTCCCAAGGGGTTTTTGGGGGGACGGGGGACCCCCGCATTTCCTTGAGGACCCCCCTGACTCCCCCGTTTTCCTGGGATACACTGGGAGGGGTTGGGGGACCCCAAAGGTGTCCCCGGGGTGGGTGATGGGATGTCCTGGGTGTCCCCCCCAGTGTTTGTGGGTCTGATGCCCCCAGGGGGGTTTGGGGGTCTGAGAGGGGACCCCCCGGCCCCTCCATTCCCTTGGGGACCCCTCTGACTCCCCCATTTTCCTGTGGTATATTTTGGGAGGGGTGCAGGACCCCTCCTGGGGTTAGGGGGGACCCCGGAGGATCCCGGGGGTGCCGGGGGGAGATGTCCTGTGTCCCCCCCCATTGTTCGTGGGTTTGATGCTCTGAAGGGGGTTTGGGGGGGGGGAGGTGGGATGGAGACGTTGGGGACCCTCTGACCCCCCCTATTTCCTTGGGGACCCCCCTGACTCCCCCATTTTCCTGGGATACGCTGGGAGGGGTTGGGGGACCCCAAAGGTGTCCCCGGGGTGGGTGGTGGGATGTCCTGGGTGTCCCCCCCAGTGTTTGTGGGTCTGATGCTCTGAGGGGGGTCAGGGGTGAAAATGAGGATCTTGGGGACCCCCCCCAGTATTTGTGGGTCTGACACTCTGAGGGGGGTCAGGGGTGAAAATGAGGATCT